TCTATTCTTATCTATAGTCTATACACAGCCTAATAGCTTAACATACTCTAATAAGTTTTCTAAACAATATGGCGATATACAATAATTAATTAAATAAGTCCTTTTCCAGCTTGGTCTTGAAACATTGATTCCGCCTTAGAAGTGTGCAATTCACTCTTCTGTTTAGAAAGTCTCTTTCCTTTCTTTTCCTCTGTAGTTATTTAGAAGTGGCTTTTCAATAGAAATGAGAAAGGCAACGACTCAAGCCCAAACAACCGGGCTGCAAACACAGTCTCCGCCGATTTTACCTCCTAGCTCCCTGGCTGAACAATTTCATGAAAGTGAAAGCGATGGTCTCGCCTGCCTTCGGGAGCCGCTGAGATTTCTTTGCCGGCAGCGCTCTCTGTCATCTTTTCGACTCTGCAGGATCACTGGCTATCCACGCTGCAGTTTTTTCTCCGAGCTGTAATTACAGCCGCCCTGTCACCATCTTCTCACCAGAAGTCCTGTATTCTACCAACTATGACGAAGCTCTGTAACGAATCTAGGATAACCTTATCATTAGCAAATTACTGGAGAGCCTAAGTGAGGGGTTTGGTTAAAACTTTTTGAAGTTCATATGACATCTACTTAGTCACACCTTTTTACATGTTTTTTCACTGAAAATCTGAGAAATGCTGTACTATTAATCCAGTCTAGGTTAGAGGAAGCTAATTCAGAAACTCATTTGTTTAGAAAAAGTATTTTTCTTTAAAAACTATTTAGAGAAACTACAGTAATAAAGGGAGCAGCACAGTGTACCACCTCAGCCCTGGCACTAGAGGATATACATATTCTTTATTTCAGTCCAATGGATTACAAATATGTATATTGCACAGAACAAGGTCATGATATTATGGACATGGCTTTAATTTTACAGTACATGTTTGGGCTAATTTATATAAAAAATACAACAGGAAAATAAAAGTAATAAAATAAAGCCATCAACTCATTACTTAACCTCACTTTGCTGGCAAATTCAGAATCAGGAATTAATATGCAAGCAGAGGTAACATCCAAAAATCTATTCAAAAATGATGTAAGTAGGCTTGTACATTCAATTTCTGTTAAACTGTTCTATGTATTTTCAACTCTGCGTGTTGTAAAATTCAGTCATGCTTCATTGTTTAACTGCATCACAAAAGATTGTCGAGTTTTGCAAGGCACTGCAAGACAGGGAATGCCCAACAGTAGCAGATTAGCTAGAGGCCCAAGCAGCAAAGCATGGGCATCACTGGAGCCAAACATACCGGAAGTACAAGGATTTTTCTCTGCAAAAAGATGTCATGAGCATCTGGAGTTGTGGGGCCATTGGCACCCTCAGCAATAATCTGTGAGGCACAAAAAGATAAAGGATTAAATCAGAATAATCTTAGCTAAAACACCAACTTTGAATAGATGCTCTGGCAAAGCATTGTTGTAAAAAATATTGAAATGAGACCGTCACATATTATTCAAGCATAATTCTTGTCTGTTCAGTTATAGGAAGCTGGTTATTCTTTCCCAGTGTACTGAAGTTCAACAAAAACTCTGAAGAAACTGATAAAATAATGAAGACTGCATTCAAAGACCGTACTTGAAATGGAGAGGTCTCATGGAGAATACTTGCTCCATTATGATTCCAGAGCTGCTTTCAAATTAGGGAAATCATGATGGATTACAGATGACTTCTATAATTTTGAGAGCACACATTCACCAGTTCTGATTTGTTATCACATTTGTTCTATAACATAGCAGAGAATAAAGAGTCCCATAACCAATAACTGGATATTTAGTTTCCACATTACAATTGATTTTCTAATGTGGATTTGGCAGCATAACCTTCCTTCTGTTACTATTATGATGTTGCAAATTATAGACAGATGCAAAAACAAGAAAAACTCTGACCCCTGCAAGACATTTTAACTGTTCCTTACCCTCAAAGCTGAAGAGCCCAACACACATACATACAATTGTTTAAATAAATAAATATTCTCATACCAAGTTTAATTTTTAAAAAGCCATGGATTTCCAATTCTACCCCTAGCAGTACCTGACCAACTGTAAACAGTATCCAGTATAACTGTCTGGTGATCTCTACCTAATCTCGTATAAACCCCAAGTAGGCCAAAAAATATATGTTATAATACATGTGTTAGTTTGCCACAAGTTTTTTTTTAACAGTTATATTACTTTTTCTCTTGAGGCTGTAAGAACTAAGAATAGACCTGCTAAATCAGGTCAAGTCCCATCTTAATTTTGGCCAATCCTTGTTCCCTGTAACTGACATTATAGAGGCAAGGAATCACCAACCTGTTAGGAACACTGAAACTTCAGACTTATAGCTTTGAGCAGTTTTGTTCTCCATGAACGTACAGTATTTAATTCCGTTTAACTTGGGTGACCATCAGAACATCTTCTGGTGACAAATTCCACAAGTTAATTGTATGAAGTAGTTCTTTATTTTGTCTTTTCTAAATCTCCTGCCAATTAGCTTGGTTGGCAAATCTTAGTTCCTAGTGTTTTCAGATGAGAAAAATGTCTCCCTATCTACTTTCTCTAGGTCATGAGTATAATGGATGGCATGAGCGGGGAAGATTCTGGAATGGAACTTCAAGGTTGTCAGGAGGGGGGAGAGACATTCCAGGGCAAGCGCCTCCTCAGTCCGCAGCAAGTGTGGGGGAAGACGAAGAGGATGAGGCTGGCCCCTCCCTAGAGTCTCATGGGTTATAGCCACTAGTTGCTTTAGCATAGTTTTAGTCTGGTGAGATTTTGTCTATTAGGTGCGAGCTAATAAAGGAACTGAACTGTACTGGATTGCTTCGTTGCTG